CCAAAGTCAGCTCCCTTTCACAATTTTCTCATGTTAGTCAATGATAACAACTTCTGATCTCTAACTACAATTCTCGTAACTTGCTGAATACTGCCAAATTCTGATTTATCCACTCCTCTAATTTATTTTTGCATACTTATCCAGCTGTACCACTCTCCAAAACAAACCTTTCATTTTTGTCTAATTGCAACTCTTGCTTTCATACATATATGCTAAGCTCATAATAATTTCTGTAACTTTATTATGTTCTTTAGGGTGCTCTTTACAGATACTTTACAGATACAGATGTGGTAGGAGAAGAAAACAATCTCTACGCTCCTCCACAAGGCCGACATGTCTATCTTTTAAGGACATCAAATAACTATGAAGTTATGGTTCCAATAAATTGACTTTACCTCTGTAATATGTTGACTCTGTCACCGAACCTTAGGTTCCTCTGAGCTCTCTCCCTGATCAGGTCTTGATCTAGACCCATCGTGTCCAGTTTTAGCAAAGAATCCTGCTAAGTCAGTTTATAGAGAGTCCCTCACCCTTGCTATTTTATCAGTTTCTGATCCCCTTCCCTTGATATCTAAGCATTTGGCCTGCTGTTACCAAGCATCCTGACAAGCCAGTTTAGTGAGAATCCCCCTGCCCTGAATATCTAAAGTTCCTCTTAGTAATTTTCCATCCACCAATCCCCTAGCTCTGCTCATTGGCTATAAATCCCTAGCTGTCCATGTTGTATTCAGAATTAGTTTGGTCTCTTTCATCCACTGCAATGGTCTTCACATCTTCTTGACTGTTTTAAACAAGTGTCAGAGTAATTTTTCTTCTACAGCATCTTAATTAGTTTATAGGAAGTCTAAATTCTGAATGTTATTCCAAAGGAACTATTCCTGCACCTCTGCTGGGGTAGAGCTCAAAATTACAGTCTTCACATTTTCCACATACATGTATTTTAGTCACTTTGTTTTGGGAGTTAGGAACCCTTAAAAATTAAAGAGGCCCTTTCTGAATGTTTGCTTGGAAGCTTTAAATTTAAACTTCTGTCAGGGTTATCAGACAACAATTGGTCTGAATTGACTGTGGAATATGCTATATAACCTTTTCTTTCACATTTTAGAAACTTGTACATTTCTCCAGGATGTAGTAAGGAAATGGGTAAGCAATTTATATCTATCTTAAGAAAAAAAGAATATAGCTTTTCTTCAAATTGCTTTTATTATACAGTTGCAATGGTATTAATTATAAACATCTAGTCTATTTTCACACAAATAGTCATGAGTACACACTGATAAAGACATGCGCTGGGTACATAAACATTATTTATGTACAAAGACATTATTGGTACATAAACATACTGGGATTTGGGCATGAAAACACAGTATCAATTAAACAGCTTTAGCAGTCTCAAAATAGACTTCAATGACATTCATATATATTTCCTAATTTAAATTGTGTTAGAAACGTTGCGTCTACTTTGAGGAACAAATGCTGTAACAGAAGAGGGAAGACATGTACGCAAGAAGGCAGGAGATTTTTAGTTGTATACTAAGGTTTAGTTTTGGCACATTGAAAGTATCATGTTTTCCTATTAGATTTCTGAATTTGTGAACAAACATTAACAGCTGCTGTTCTTTAATATGACCTAATTCATACGATATTTGTGGGAAAATACAACTTCAGTTTTGTCTGTTTACTTATTTTTTGATTTTTCCATTATTTCTCAGTGAAGGTACTATCCAAATATTTTTTAGAAGAAGAAAGAAACAACATTTAAGCCTAAGACATTCTTCATGTATTTTTACCGTGGCAAGTAGTCATTCACAATGTGATATAATCATTACTCTCAGTAGTCACTCACAATGTGATAAAATCATTACCCTTCCAAATAGCATTGCATTTTTTGCCTTCCTGGAATATTTTCCTTTCCTTAAATAGAACATCATTTCTCATTAGGATGGACTTATAGGATGCATTTGGGGGATAGTTGAGATCAAGATTTTATTTTCAATATTCCATTTTTCTTGCAGTAAGCAAGCTCTTTTTCAGCATATGACATAGATCATAAAATATACTGAAAATGTGAGCATGCAAATAGCAAAACCTAAATTACATTTTATATGGGTACCCATTTGGCTGACAGGACATTTGTTGAAAACATATTATATGTAATATTTAATTGTGTCAAAAATATATTTATTTATTATGAGCCCTTTATTGTTTTAATGTTAAGAACAAATATCCTCAAAATAAACAATTGCTACTAAAATTTTCATTGGAATTGTTTTGGTTGTTTTCTTAAAACTCAAAATAAATTAGCAGGAAATGCATAAAATTATGTGAATCATTTGATTCACAATGATTTCACCCATGAAAAAATAAATACCATGTAGAAATAAATAGCTTTGTAGTAAAATATAAAGGTTTTACCCTTTGTCAAATAAACAAATAGCATGACTTCAGTTTGCTTCATCTTTTCATGTGATCTAGTAAATGATTTGTTTAGCTGCCAGAAGGGTGTTCTTCAGAAGCATTGCCACTGTCATGGGTCCTACACCTCCTGGAACTGGAGTGATAAAGCCAGCTTTCTTCTTAACAGCTGATGAGGAAAAAAAAACAAACAGAATATTCTTTATTTTAAAATTATCTGAGATTTTAATATTTTTAAACATGCTGAATATAGTGCTTCTTTCTTCGTTATATATACAAATAATTTTTAGAATCAAGTAGGCTGTAATAAACAGACACACACACACACACAAACAGCATGCTCACTTAGATGGATAATTCTGTGGGTTTTATCTAAGGTGGACAGAAAGACCACAATGGACCAACACTGTAGGTTCAAGCTCCATGCAGCTCAGTTTGTTTTATATAATGAAACCCATAATTGACCCAGTTACCTGTAATTCTAGTTAACTAATTCTAAAATACATGATACTGGTCACAAAAGGGATATAGAATATAGAAAGTTCAGCACATACCATTTATTAAGTAGAATTATTCCTGTTAAAACAATATCACAATGTATATGTGGATAATACATTTCAATTCAAGTCTAGTAATTATCATTAAATATACTTGAATTATGAACACATACATACTCCCCTTCAGAGGTATGGAAACTTATTCAGTGAATACAGATGGTCCCCAGCTTGCAATGGTTTCACTTAAAATTTTTTGATTTTTCAACTGTGCAAAAGCTATACAGATTCAGTGGGAATTATATTTCAAATTTTGAATTTTGCCCTTTCTCCCAGGTAGTGATATGTGATACAATACTTCTCAAGATGCTGAGTAGTGGGAATAAGCCAAAGCTCCCAGTCAGCCATGAGATCAACCAATGATCAACCATGATCAACCAATACTCTACAATATACTGCATTATGAGATTATTTGTCCAAATACAGGTTAATGTAAGTGTTCTGAGCATGTTTATGGTAGCCTAGACTAAGGTATGATGTTTGGTGTATTAAATGCATTTCTGACCTAATGATATTTTCAACTTAGGATTACCGGGATGTAATCCCATCATAAGTCATAGAGAATCTGTATACTTAAAGAAAATGGCAGATAACTTTCAGCAAGTTATATTTAAGAATGTTTTCACACCCACAGTATGAAAGGTGAATGACTTACTGCATTCATTTACTTGATGGTATGGTGGTTTACTGTGTGTGTGTGAAATAAGAGCAATGAAGTTTTTTAAAATAACTTTTAGTAAAAAGTTAGCATAGACAGTATTTCTTTAATGTATAATCTGACATTATTAACCACATGCTATTTAGATGTATTGCCTTTTACAATTAGCTCATATAGGCTGCTGCATGAATCAAAATCAATAGATGTTGTCTGTATCTTTAGTATTATTTTTGCACAACTTATGTCGTCCTTTTGAAAGATGATTTGTGGAATTTACCTTTACTTTATTTGAAGTGAACAGTACATTGGAATAATTTTTTAAATTAGAGGAGAAGCAAAGGAATAATATTGCTTTACTTGAAGAAAGGTCCAGTAAGCTTAAATATATCACAAATATATATAGTTAACATGTGTTATGAACTTTTTGATGGCATGTTAGAAAGAAAAGATAAGAATACTGTGATTTGGAAGGTAATATGTCAGTTTTCCAGACAGCCTCTCTATACAGAAAGCACAACCTTTCCATTGCCACATTTACATCTAATGCATTCTATTCTGTAGAAACATTAGAATGGATCAATCGTCATTCAACAAATAGCTATGAATTTTTAGTCCTTTCTTCCTTTGCTCTAACTGTTCCTTCTACTCGGATCATTATTCCATCTTATCCAAACAAGAAACTCATTATTTCTTGAAAGCCAATGAAATGTCACCTGTCTATAATTTTCCTGAAAAACTCATTCCTCCAGTGTTGAATCGAAAGTCCCACCATCTATATTTCCAATAATTTTATACCTACCTCCATTATGGAACTTAATACACTGTGCACTGTCTGTTCCCTTAACTAGACACCAGCATCTAGAAGGCAGAAGCCAAGTCACTGTGGTGGTTGTTTTTAATTCTTAGAAGGTGCACAGCTTAGGCACTCAGCAGATTTTGAGAAAGTGAACTTAAATTGCCCTTACTTAAAATCTAAAACCAATTTGCAGAAATGTGCTTTTGACTGGATGTAAACGATATCAATTTAGTTTAAGCTAATTTACTGAAAAACTCGAGCTACTCCTTTTGCTTTAGGGTGATAAACTG